GATTCACGTTTATCAGATCTTTTTTTAAATGTGTGCTGAAATAAATACCGGAAAAGATCGATTCGCGGCTTTTGAGAATCGATATCGAATCGACGTCATTTTAAAAAACAATTAACAATCTTTTTTTTTTTGCCCAGCCCTAATTCTAAATTATGTACGGCAAAAATGCTGCTGTATGCTTTTTATATGTATATAATTCAATATAATTAACTTAATTTATATCACACAAAGAGTACTGTTTTTCTGCAGATATCAGCATGAAAGCATGATATCAAATTTAATAATCATTTCAATAAAGTTAGCAATAAGTGACTTACATTTTAGACATAATATTGCTTGTTTTTGCTCAATTTTGCGAAAATAGTTCCAAACAAAGATCACAGCACTGTTTTGCGTCTCTGAGCAATGGACGGTGTTTACTTATTGAATGAATCCGCTTTTTGAACGAATCGGTTGATTAAATGATTCAGTGATTCACTCATTAACACAGTCAAATGCTCTGTTTCTGAATGAATTAGTCGTTTTAATGAATCGGTTGAATCTCAATGACTCACTCATTAACAGTCACTTGCTGCCACCTACTGGCAGTTTTAATTTCACATTTCGACTATTTTTTTCATGTTTTACATCATTTAAAATATCAGTATTCAATGTTTTATGTTAAAAACTTACTCAAGTAATATTCTAAACGGTGACTTCAACTTCTACCAAAGTCATTTTCTGGTAAGATATCTGTACTTTTACTTGAGTATGGCTTTCAGGTACTTTATACACCACTGTTAAGGACAATAACGATCCCAATGTGATGTGGGTGCTGGAGAGGATCCTCAGCTTCCTTGAAGACAAACACTGCCATTGTGCATCTCTCAAGCTCCGTTTCAGCTTCATCCTTCTGAACAACCTAATACAAGACAAAGAGAAGACATTTACTGACTCTTTCCACAATGCAATATTTGGATACAACATCCATTTTATGACCAGCCTTTCACTGCTCCATCTGCACTGCCGCTGCTCTGAAGTAACAAATATTTCTAAATGTGATTAAGATACAATATACAATATATTAACCAGCACAGAGATAGTTATGTGGTCAGTTGGCTCGTTTTTTAGCACATGTATTTGTACCACTGACTTCAAACCATGCAACATCGTACTCCAACACAACTGGATTATTTGCAATTGGATAGTGGAACAAAGCTAATACAAAAACTTTGTCCCCTGATGGACCACAATGCTGACAAGTTCACTGTGACTGATGGCATTTCAAAGACAAAGTACTTTCTCAGTAAAGGCAGTTCAAATCACTTGTCTAAAGCTTAAGTGATCAATGCAAAACTACTTACCAGATCTTCCCCAAGGTACGCAATAAGCAGACACAATAAGAATACACATTTCAGCAGACACTATCTTTTTTGATTCACCTCGAGGCTCTAGGTAAGAGCGCAAACACTAAAGTTATTATGCAGTCCAATTTAGCATTTTCACTGATGTAAACAATACACAATGCACACAATTATGTGCTTATAGAGTTATAGTAGTTGTATAGTTACAAATGCTTTAAAAAAATAAAGTTAAAAGGCCTAATCTAACTCCACAATCAAACTTGTTGACAAAATGAACACTATTTCTTCTACGTACAATGTTACTATTTATGTATTAAGTAATACATTTTGATGTATTGAGCAAAGTACATACCTGATCAAGTACATTCGGTATATTCCAGGTCAAGAACAGTTGTTATTCTCATCAATTCAGCATTGATCATAAAAAAAAGAATAGTAAATGCAAATGTAAATACAAATGTGTGGTGTGAGAGATCTTGGGATTGACATCAGGTGCCAAAACGTGCATTTTGGCTCAATTGTCAGTTTCTTATGATAGGGGATAATAATTTACTTTACAGATCATCACTGACTTGTTGCCATTAATTAAAAAAGACCGATCACATGAATAATATTTTCATACGAGGGATCATATGAATTACATTTTGATTTATTTAGCACTGACCTGAATGAGGTATTTCACATAACACAATGATAATACTTGAATTTACCAAAATAACCCAGTTCAAAGGTGTACAGACACTTCTAAATTTCTAAATTTTATGTGTTGTATGTTTTTGAACTTCATGATAGCTGTTCATGAATGTCTTGTTTTATTAGGCATTAAACTGTCCACAGCACTTTAAAAAATCCTACAATTTGTATGCTTTTCCAACATTATCTGCATTTGTGAGCTTGTTCCAACAGTGATGTATGATGTAGAGATTTATCTTTTCACACTAAGGATAGATTTATACACATCAGTTACTAAAGTTTCAAATATTAAGTGATGCAAATATTAACAGGAAGGCAACACAATACAGTAAGAGCCAGGTCAAGGACAAACATGAGAGTCATGAACAACTATCACAAACATAAGAAGTGTTAATTGTCTGGGTGACATCATACAGTATTAAGAAATGAGTGTATCTTATCTTTTTGGGGTGTTTTTGTAAATTCGGCTATTATTGAATGTTCTAAATTATATGTAAACATCTGTTATGTGAAATAGCTTGGTCAGGGCAGTACTACTGAATATAAAACAAAATAAAATTTTTATGATCCTTTTTTAAATATTAACATTTTGCAGTTTTTATATGGGGTATCTGTGTCATAACATGGCAACTGTTTTGCAGTTTAATTTTTTCCACCCAAATACACTGTATATGTCACGCTCTTGTTGAAGGAAGGCGCACGAAGACGAACGTAATCCAAATAACATTTAATTGTAATCAAAGATGATGCAGATACATACAAAACACAGGCTTCAGAATCCCCCCTGCTGTGGAAACCCCATCAAGCAAATATTGGAAGAACTTGCAACAAAAATAAACTCCAATCAAACCTGCAAGTTTAATATCAACCGTGCATCTGTGCTGGATGGTGCTGTACGGGGATTTACAAGACTCTCATACAATCCAAATAACAGAATGGTGATCAGGTTTTCTGATGATAAAGGAAAGTATGAAGAGGCTATTGATCTGGGTGGTCCAAGGCGAGAATTTTTACGGCTACTCCTGGTGGCACTAATGCAGTCATCAATGTTTGAGGGAAAAGAGGACAGTCTCAACTTGGCTCTTGATTCCCAAGGTATACATTATATTTGTGCTGTTTGTTGTACAGATTTGAGAACTTTTATTCTACATTGCATAATTGTGATTTTAAGGATCTGTGAAGGCTGTTGTATTGACATGTGTTCTCTAATTTTATGTCAGCCATCAGGGAGAACAGGTATTTCATAGCAGGGAGAGCAGTTGCAGTCAGCCTTGTACATGGAGGACCTGCACCGGGTTGTTTCTCTAAGACCCTATTTGACAGTTTAGTTCAGGGGCCAGACATGTGCATACCTGTCTTGGACGATGTAGCTGACTGCGAGCTTTATAATAAAATCAAAAAGGTTTGCTTAAAACTGCAGTATAAACGTTTCATTTACTTATACCATCATGCTTTCTCAGATTGACTTAAAAATGTGTTCCATTATAAAAGCCATAGCTTAGTATAACAATATTGTTTATAGAAAACTTTCTCTGAAATATTTCTAACTTAAATTTGAAATGCACATGCCATTTGCTCACATACAGGTTTCTGAAGCCACAACTCTTGAAGAGCTACAACACTCAACTGAGCCCATTATGGACTACCTTGCCAACGCAGGTTGTCTAAGGCCATTAAGAAGCATTGCCGACAGGGACAGGCTGGTTGAAGACTTACTGATGTTTCAGGTGGTGAATCGTGTTCGTGGACCATTTGAAAGGTTTGTTAGGACTTCAGAAATATACAGTCCATTGGATGAATCTTTTGAATCAAACAAATGTATTTAAAATAAAATACAATTATAAAATGCAATACAATTATTTAATTATTATCTTAATAAAATTCATTAATGCAATGTTGTTATTTCAAATCTCTTATGAATCATACTAAATCATCTTAATATAGGTTCAGGGATGGACTAAAAACTCTTGGCGTCCTTGCAAAAGTCCAACAACAACCAGAAGCTTTTAGATCCGTGTTTTGTCACCAGCCAAATCAGCTGACAGCAGACATAATGGATGACCTATTTGAAATACAGTGGTCAGAGAATGGGAGCAACAAACGAGCAAATGAGAACAGAGTTATTGCTTTCTGGAGGGACTACCTGCAGGATGTGGAAGGTAACCTTTTTAATAAGCACATTTCACTTTTAATAAGTTACAGACAATGATTAGTGGAACTGGAACATTTCATGGCTTGCTCATTCAAATATATTTGAAGTGCATCATAATTTAAATCAATTCATTGATTTGAAGCAGTAAATGATCATTTGTTCTGCAATATAAAGACAAATCTCAATATGAAGTTTTTTAGTGTCGTGATTTTCAACGCATATTGTTGTATGTGACACTATTGCTGCAAGTGTTCTACTAACTCCATTGCTACAATATCTATATGTATATACAGTTGTGCTCATAAATATATCTCTTCTAAAAGTGATATTTAAAAAAGACAGATCGTATGAATCACGTTTTCATACAAGGGATCGTATGAATTACATTGTTTTATTTAGCACTGACCTGAATTAGGTGTTTCACATAACACAATAATACTACTTGAATTTACCAAAATAACCCAGTTCAAAGGAGTACAGTCTGTTCATTCTAAATTTTATGCGTTGTTGTATGTTTTTGAGCTTCGTGATAGCTGTTCATGAGTGTCTTGTTTTATTAGCCATTGATTAAACTGTCCACAGCACTTTAAAACAATCCTTCAAATTTTCTGCTTTTCCAACATTATCTGCATTTGTGAGAATGTCCCAACAGTGACTTATGATGTATGATGTAAAGATTTATCTTTTCACACTAAGGATAGTTGAGAGATTTATACACATCAATTACTAAAGTTTCAAATATTAAGTGATGCAAATATTAACAGGAAGGCAACACAATACAGTAAGAGCCAGGTCAAGGACAAACATGAGAGTCATGAACAACTATCACAAACATAAGAAGTGTTAATTGTCTGGGTGACATCATACAGTATTAAGAAATGAGTGTATCTTATCTTTTTGGGGTGTTTTTGTAAATTCGGCTATTATTGAATGTTCTAAATTATATGTAAACATCTGTTATGTGAAATAGCTTGGTCAGGGCAGTACTACTAAATAGAAAACAAAATACAATTTTTATGATCCTTTTTTAAATATTAACATTTTGCAGTTTTTATATGGGGTATCTGTGTCATAACATGGCAACTGTTTTGCAGTTTAATTTTTTCCACCCAAATACACTGTATATGTCACGCTCTTGTTGAAGGAAGGCGCACGAAGACGAACGTAATCCAAATAACATTTAATTGTAATCAAAGATGATGCAGATACATACAAAACACAGGGTAACACAAGCAGCATACACAACTAATAACCGGCAGCTAACTGAACTGAAAGGGGAACTTAAGTAGGGTGAGATAATGAGGGACAGAAAGGTGAGGATGATAACTAATCAAACACAGGTGAACTGAATGAACAAATCAAAGGACGACAGAAACTAAATGAAGACACAACAAAAGACGTCCATGACTGTGACAGTATAATTGTTAATATTTTGTTTTTTTACTGTTTACTCAGAGGAGGGGTCAGAGAGGCTTGGAGCAATCTTAGCATTTGCTACAGGATCCGATCAGGTCCCACCAATTGGATTTCATCCTCAGCCTTCTACTGCCTTTCACCATAACACAGAAACTCCACAAAGATTTCCAGTTACAAATACATGCATCAACTGCCTTCGCCTGCCATTATATAGCACATATGGTGCCTTTAAAAGCAACATGGAATTTGCCATTAATAATACCCAGGGATTTGGCAAGGAGTAAGAGACACTTTTAAATACTAAGATGTGTTAATGTTGTGCCAAAGGCTTTTGAGGCATTGTTTTAGTCTAAGAACAACTCTTTATTAAATAAGTTTCAGCAATGTTAGAATCAATCTTAGCAGTACTTGTTTAAACCTTAACTATAGGATAATGCTTAGAGGACTAGCATTGCCTTAATGCAACATTTGTCAACACTTGTTTATGAGTTCAAATTCAGAACAATTACAATAAAGCATAAATACTGTGTTCTAGCCTGTCGTCTTTCCAATAAGTGTACAAGTGCCAAAAACAGATCAATTCCGTGATTTCCATCATTTTGTAATGGGTTAATTGTATCCAGAATGTTTTCCATGGTAGAGTCATTTGGGCGGTACAGTAGATGTTGTCAGGAACTATTATATTATTCCTGCTCTGTAGTTCAGGAGCTGGTCTGTTTTCATTGATGTCAAAATGGTCATCACTCTCTAACACACCAGATATAGCTGTGTTGTTGATTCCAATATGACTAACAATACCCCTGTGCCATAACTGCAGAGGGGTTTGTCCTCTTTCAGTTGGCAGTCCATGGTTATTCCACATGTCCCTAAATTCCCTAACTGCCTTCTGGATCCAAGGTTTGTAAATAAAATGCAAACAAAATACATGAAGCTCACACAGAGAGTCTAGTATACCTTGGTCCTCCATGAAAGTAAACAAGTCTGAAAAATAATATGAAACAACTCTGTTCAGCTCTGCCCATAAACGTTCGATCCTTTGATTATGGACACTGCGGCCCATAATGCCACTACCTCCATTTAGTCCTCTTCTATTTAACATGTAACGTGCAACCTCTATGTTTTCCATGCCATGGTCGCATCTAACCCTCGATGGCAATCCAAAGTTTTGAACCCCTTCTTGGAACAAAGACAGAACACTTAATGCTCTATTATTGTTCAGACAGTCGAGATAAATAATTGGCAACACTTTACAATAAGGTTCTAAACATTAATTCAATAGTTCACATAAATAACAACAATATTTTACCTAATTAACATTAGTTAATGTATTATGAATAAACATGAATTAACGATGAACAATAGTATATTAATAAATTAACATTAACCTACTGTAGATTAATACACGTTATAAAAAATTGTTGTTCATTGTTAGTTTTAATACATTAACTAATTAGAACTAAGAGAACTAAATGCATCAACAAACTGAACTACATTGTAAAGTGTTACTGGTTAAGCATAATTTAGTGGTGATTACAGTTTTTCTCAAATGCTAAAACACATTTCACAAACGTTTCCTCCATGTTCCCCAGTGTCTAAACACAACACCCTTTTCTAAAGCTACATAAACACAACCACACCTTCTCACTTCAAAACTCAAACTTTCACACCAAAAGAGCAGCTCGAAGCTTTCAAAAATGTAAACACTATACACATCATTACACACTACAGCAAAACAATTGAAAACACAATGCTCAATTTGTGAGAAGGTTCTTTGTTTCATAACTGCCAATGCATATTTTTAGAAACTTTACAGTAATGGATGTTCTTAGATCTCTGCAGAGGATTAGGCATTTAGATTTGTGAGTTTCATATGAAGAGTATAAATCTATAGTAAATTCTGCATGTACACTACTGTAACACAACTCAATGCAAAAACAGAATCTATTGCACACAACAGTACTCTTGAAAACATGATCAGGGTGTGAAGTTTTTTTATTTACTTTATTCACACCACACACACACCACAATCACTGTGCGGCATCATGTCGCTGAGCTGCATCGGGCCACATCCACATCGCAGGCTATATTGTCTCTTGCCAGGCACCGCGGGAAAAACGCCCTGGAATGGCGAATCCATCCTTGGAAGGCCTCCACTGGGATGTCAACACAGGCCAGCTCCATTGCCCTTAGGAGGTTCTCTCTAGTGTATGGTTGTCTGTCATAAACCTTCCATCTCCACGATGAGAAGAACTCCTCTATAGGGTTCAGGAAAGGGGAGTAGGGTGGCAGACAGACGTTTAAAAAGTGGTTACTGTTGGTGGTGAACCACTCTCTGATTTGGTTTGTTTTGTGGAAGCGTACATTGTCCCAAATGATCACATAAATGTGATGTGCGGGCCCAGGATGGTGTTGTTGGCGGTCCAGGAGGATGTCTTTTAGCTCCTCTAGGAAGGTGAGGAGACGTTGGGTGTTGTAAGACCCAAGGACAGCATGCCGGTGGACAAGCCCCTCCAAACCCATGGCCGCACAAAGAGTAATATTACCCCCCCGTTGGCCAGGAACCTCAGTGATGGCTCTTTGGCCAATGATGTTACGGCCTCTTTGCCTTCGTTTCTGCAGGTTGAAGCCAGCCTCATCCAGGAAGAGGTACTCATGAGGTCTGGCCATCGCGTCCAACTGTAATATCCTCTGTGAAAATGTGAAAGTGCACAGGTGTTCAGAACAACAGTCAATCAGGTAGCACAGTATTGTCCAGAAGTAATGTAGGCCACTGAGCAACACAGTATGTCCACTAACTGTACTGTGAACATGGATGTATACTTACTTGCACATACTCGTAACGTAGGTCTTTGTGTCGCGCAGAGTTGCGCTCAAAGGGAACCCTATAGACCTGTTTCATCCGCATCTTTTGGCGCCGGAGAACTCGGTCTATTGTGGCCAAGCTGACATCATCAATGCTCTCAAAGTTGACATTATCGGCAATGACTTTGTCTCTGATCTCCCGGAGTCTGATGAGGTTGTTCTCACGAACCATATCCACAATGAGGGTTTCTTGTGCCGCTGTAAATATGGCAACCCTCCCACCTCTATGTGGCATTCTTTCAACTCTAAAGAAAGAAACATGTGTTGTCAATTGACATGTTTTACAATACAGTAACAACTGATTTGAAACCAATAGACTACTTTCACAGGCTTGTAAAATTGTATTGTGACAAAGAAAGCAATAGAGTACAATACCTGTTGTGTTGTCTGAATGCCCTGATAATGGTGGCCACGGTGAACCTACTCAGGTTTGGACGGACTCGTAGTCCTGCTTCAGCCATTGTCATGCCATGGACAATGACATGGTCAATGACTGTTGCTCGCATCTCGTCCGTAATGATGGTGCGAGGTTGTCTTGCTCTCCCTCCTGGACCTTCTCCTCTCCCTTGTTGGCCTGCTCCTCTTCCTCCTCTGATTTGAACTCCTCTTCCTCGTTGGCCTGCTCCTCTTCCTCCTCTGATTTGAACTCCTCTTCCTCGTTGGCCTGCTCCTCTTCCTCCTCTGATTTGAACTCCTCTTCCTCGTTGGCCTGCTCCTCTTCTTCCATGGCCAGCTCTTCTCCCTCCTCTGACTCGAATTCCTCTTCCCCTGACTCTGCCTTCATCCATTGTGTTTGTTTGGAATCTTCAGCAAACTGTGCACTCTGAACTTGCTTTTATACATGTGGTCACAGCATTAGCAACAAGTGTCTTCAATTTTGAGTCGTTGTGTGTAATGAATGACGCCAGGTGTGTTCATTGTGTTCAAATATTGCTGACTGTGGCAAGCATTTTGCATCACATGAGCTTTCATTTGAGAATATGAGCAGAGTTCTTTTGCAACTTGTGTTTTAGCAAAGAAAAATGTGTTAAGATTTATGAGAACGGAGGATTGTGTTTTGTGAATTGTGTCTTCATGTGAAATGTGTTTATGATATTGGAAAATGATGGCTAGATTTAGTAAATGTGTTTAGACAACTGGTCATTTGGTTTAGAGGATTGGCTTTTGTGTTTTAGCATTTGAGAAAAACTGTAAGTGTTTAATTGTACTGTTCTAATTGTTTTATAATGTCATGTGGAATAGCCCCTTAGGAAAATTAACCATCGTTTAGTAAAAATGTAGCTTACATGATTTTTGCAGGATGGTTTATATTACAACATAAATACAAAACTTAATTCATTAACATTAGTTCATTTTAAGGGATATTTTAATGAAGTTGTCAAATAACTGCTGGACATTCCACAGTTGGTTAGGAGTTTGCACAGAATAAATTCTTCTTCTGACAGCACATCGGCACCTGAGTGACCTTCCAATAGGACCTATCTCATGTAAACTTTGTCTCAGCCTCCAACGCTGGATGCGGATGGAGCGAGGCCGGAGACTGCCCAGAATGTAGGTCTCACCTGCATTTGGGGTTCTTTGCAAAATCTGTCTGACAAGTGTGTTCAACTCATAGTTAGAGAGTTCTGCAAACTCCAACGGTCTGATTCCAAGATGCCGCGTTTGTGAATTTTATTTTGTATGTATGCGCGAGTGTTTTATGGATGTGTATGCGTGCATCGAGTTTATATTTATGTGCGAGTGTTTATAGGTGTATATGCATGGATCAAGTTTATATGTATATATGCGAGTATGTATAGGTGTGTCTACATGCAGCGAGTTTATACACTGAACAAAATTATGGATGGATTATCTCGGCAAAGGAGAAGTGCTCACTAACACAGATTTAGACAGATTTGTGAACAATATTTGAGAGAAATAGGCCTTTTGTGTACATAGAAAAAGTCTTAGATCTTTGAGTTCAGCTCATGAAAAATGGGGGCAAAAACAAAAGTGTTGCGTTTATAATTTTGTTCAGTGTATGTATGTGCGTGTGTTGTTGTAGGTGTATATGCATGGATTGAGTTTATACGTATAAGCGAGTGTCTATAGGTGTATGCATGCGTCATGTTTATATACATACGCAAGTTATTCACAAGTGTATATGCATTCATTACTAACATAAGATGTATTGGTATGGATTTCATATTAGTGTGCCCGTGTATTTCATTTTTTTTTTTTTGAACATCCAATAGTATACATGTATATGTGAGTAATTTATAGGTTTTATGTTTTATGTATGTATTGATAAGCGAAGTTTGATTTAATAACTTTTATAACTTGGTCAGATGTGAACAGCAACAGACATCATGGCCCCCAAATTCAATAAGGAATTTTTTTTAACATACTGTATTCATTATTAGTAAAAAGACCCGTTTTTATTGTGATGATTTATTGCAATGACTTTAACTTTACCAAGTGGCTCAAAAGCAAATTAACATTTTTTTGTTCCAAAAAAAAAAGGACATCAAGTTGAGATGACACTGTGTAAGGTGTTTTAAAGCTTTTGTGAACTTTATTCAGAAAGAGAAAAACTGCACATTTAGTATATGTACACAGAAATATTTATTAGCAAATTCGAACATTAATTTTAAATTAAATTAGGAAAAGTTAATTTTAAATTGTTGAAATAATTCTAGTAATAGAAGTAAAAATAAAGCCTATACCATAATGGTGTGTGAAGGACATTGCACAGTCCCCACCCCAAAAAATGTTGATTACACTTTACATGTGTGTGTACTAGTAAATTTAAAAACATGCTGCACAGAGAAAATTACTGTCAGTCCCAACACAGTCTTGGTGGAACCATCTGTTACAGTCTCCACACTGGATTTGAAATTCAAATTTCAGTGTACTCAAAAATTTTGAGAGTGATTTAAATAACTATTTAACCTAAAATGTGTTTTGTTTGTTGCTGTCTGTTGACTCACTAAAGATGCTCTTAGTTGATGGTCAATCTTCAATGCCACAGTAGTGCAGTTCAGACAGATCATCTGGAAGAAATACAAACATGGATTTAGCCTTAGAGTACTTGCATCTAACTAGAGATGCACCGATTGCAATTTTCTTGGCCGATTCCGATTTCCGATTTTTTGTTAGTGTGACCTGCCGATACCGATTTTTGCCGATTCTGATTTTCTTTCTAAGAACTATAATTGACTAGACAGATTTGTGAACAATATTTGAGAGAAATAGGCCTTTTGTGTACATAGAAAAAGTCTTAGATCTTTGAGTTCAGCTCATGAAAAATGGGGGCAAAAACAAAAGTGTTGCGTTTATAATTTTGTTCAGTGTATGTATGTGCGTGTGTTGTTGTAGGTGTATATGCATGGATTGAGTTTATACGTATAAGCGAGTGTCTATAGGTGTATGCATGCGTCATGTTTATATACATACGCAAGTTATTCACAAGTGTATATGCATTCATTACTAACATAAGATGTATTGGTATGGATTTCATATTAGTGTGCACGTGTATTTCATTTTTTTTTTTTGAACATCCAATAGTATACATGTATATGTGAGTAATTTATAGGTTTTATGTTTTATGTATGTATTGATAAGCGAAGTTTGATTTAATAACTTTTATAACTTGGTCAGATGTGAACAGCAACAGACATCATGGCCCCCAAATTCAATAAGGATTTTTTTTTAACATACTGTATTCATTATTAGTAAAAAGACCCGTTTTTATTGTGATGATTTATTGCAATGACTTTAACTTTACCAAGTGGCTCAAAAGCAAATTAACATTTTTTTGTTCCAAAAAAAAAAGGACATCAAGTTGAGATGACACTGTGTAAGGTGTTTTAAAGCTTTTGTGAACTTTATTCAGAAAGAGAAAAACTGCACATTTAGTATATGTACACAGAAATATTTATTAGCAAATTCGAACATTAATTTTAAATTAAATTAGGAAAAGTTAATTTTAAATTGTTGAAATAATTCTAGTAATAGAAGTAAAAATAAAGCCTATACCATAATGGTGTGTGAAGGACATTGCACAGTCCCCACCCCAAAAAATGTTGATTACACTTTACATGTGTGTGTACTAGTAAATTTAAAAACATGCTGCACAGAGAAAATTACTGTCAGTCCCAACACAGTCTTGGTGGAACCATCTGTTACAGTCTCCACACTGGATTTGAAATTCAAATTTCAGTGTACTCAAAAATTTTGAGAGTGATTTAAATAACTATTTAACCTAAAGACCCGTTTTTATTGTGATGATTTATTGCAATGACTTTAACTTTACCAAGTGGCTCAAAAGCAAATTAACATTTTTTTGTTCCAAAAAAAAAAGGACATCAAGTTGAGATGACACTGTGTAAGGTGTTTTAAAGCTTTTGTGAACTTTATTCAGAAAGAGAAAAACTGCACATTTAGTATATGTACACAGAAATATTTATTAGCAAATTCGAACATTAATTTTAAATTAAATTAGGAAAAGTTAATTTTAAATTGTTGAAATAATTCTAGTAATAGAAGTAAAAATAAAGCCTATACCATAATGGTGTGTGAAGGACATTGCACAGTCCCCACCCCAAAAAATGTTGATTACACTTTACATTTGTGTGTACTAGTAAATTTAAAAACATGCTGCACAGAGAAAATTACTGTCAGTCCCAACACAGTCTTGGTGGAACCATCTGTTACAGTCTCCACACTGGATTTGAAATTCAAATTTCAGTGTACTCAAAAATTTTGAGAGTGATTTAAATAACTATTTAACCTAAAATGTGTTTTGTTTGTTGCTGTCTGTTGACTCACTAAAGATGCTCTTAGTTGATGGTCAATCTTCAATGCCACAGTAGTGCAGTTCAGACAGATCATCTGGAAGAAATACAAACATGGATTTAGCCTTAGAGTACTTGCATCTAACTAGAGATGCACCGATTGCAATTTTCTTGGCCGATTCCGATTTCCGATTTTTTGTTAGTGTGACCTGCCGATACCGATTTTTGCCGATTCCGATTTTCTTTCTAAGAACGATAATTGACAGCATATACAAACAAAAATCTATGCAAATTTCAATGCAAAAATGATTTAAATAATAAAAATAAATTATTAAACATTACAATTCCCCCACTCTGGACTAAGTTACAGATTTTCTCTTTTACTTAAACAACTCTCAAAATAAAGTGCTCTGTGACTGGAAAGAGGAAGAAATTGTTAACTTAAAATGAGTAGCTGTATGCAACAAAATTATTGTAATTTCCCACTATGTTTATAAATGGACATTTTTCCCCCTAACCTTATTAAATGTCATCTTTAACATCAAATTCTTCATTTGTTTCAATTAATTCAGTTATAATAATAAGAAACTGTAGAGTTGTTACCATTCAAATGAAATTAGTATTAACAAACTCTAACTATCCACTGCTGAGGAAACAGAAGCTGCATCTGAAGTGGCATTAGATGCATTTCCACAGACAGTTTGATGGAGCTGAGGTGCCATAAATGCATTTACACTGCAAAATTACAAATGAATAAATAATTTTATAAGATTAATGTTTTACATATTTTTTTAAACATACAAATAGATGTATGCCCAGTAGGTGGCGGCAAATGTCTGTTTTAATGAGTAAGTCATTTATTCATTCATTCAACCGATTCATTCAAACGGCTGATTCATTCAGAAACGAGGCAAGTGACTGGCCTTATGAACGGGCCACTGAATCATTGACTCACTCGATTTGTTCAAAATGTGGATTCATTCAGTAACGAAACACTGCTGTGTGTTGCTCGGAGACACACAACAGTTCTGCTGTGGCTTTGATCGGAATTATATTTAGAAATTGAGCAAAAACAGTCAATATTTTGTCTAAAATCTAAGTCACTTAAATTTAACTCCTTGTTTATTGAAATACTATAGTATAAAATCAGTGTCACATTGCAATCGTGTTGATATTGATATTCGGGGAAACATCATGGCCGTATAATGTTGCTTACCTAAATCATATTTTGTAAATATCTTTGTTTTTCTACCGCAGTATGCATCTAATTAATTTCTGTGAGTTACTTTGTGTGTGCTGTCTCTCTCACACACTCACTCAGGCTGTGCGAGCCTCATCTGGCACGACATAAATACATTATCAGTCGCCATTTACACTGAATGTAATTAAAATTAGAATCATTCTCACGCGAAACGACAT